GCCTGGCAGGGAGGGTCGGGTCAGTCAGTCACACACACATGCGCACACACGATTTATGAGAGTGTGTGTGACACCTCTCCCTGTGTGAACCCTAAATCCTTACAGATAAGAAGGTAAATAAAAAGAATCCAGCTATTCAATATTTCTTTTAACAGGGGCTCAGTCAACTTATTGTTAATTTGAACGTTTGTACTGCATAGTTCTGATTGATTGCCATTGAACTTGCTTGAATATGAGTAATTTTACTGGGTGTCCCATATTCAGCATCGGGAAATATGATCACCCTATTTTTAGTGCACCCTGGATGGCTCAGCTAAGGGAAAAGGCAGTGGACTGACACTCCGCTCCACTGTGTGTGCACTGTGTGTGATGGCTTTGAAGTTCCTTTGTCCCCCCCCCCCCCTTGATTTATTGCATTATACATTTTATATATAGTCCTTTGTGCCAGGTATTTTGTTCAGGTATTTTATTGCTGTGCTAGTTAGTTGGTACAGCATTAATTATTTCAAGCTTTACTAAACCAAGTTAAAATGCTTCTATTTCCTGAATGCACTAAAGCACTTTACATTTTGAATCTTCACAATGAAATTTGGAAATCTTTTGAATAATCGAAAAACTGTGATTCTGTGGCTCAAGTTAGTTTTTGAAATATTAAAAATAAAGGTACTGTTATGAGTGTTTAAAAATATAGGGCCAGATCCTCAGCTCAATGATCAGTTGAGTTTCTCTGATTTAGAAATCCTAGATCCTTTGGACTCTAGGTTTCTTGGAAATTCTATGAGATTATGTGTGTAAACAATTAAACTTTCTATGGTGGTGTTTCCATTGGGAACCTTGGGGGGAGAGGGGGGGGGAAATGCAGTTAGATTTCATTCACAAAATAGGTAAGTAGCGAGTTTATGGAAATAGATTATTTATTGTAAGATTTGCACCTCACTGAAGCAATTGTCTGTTATGTTATTCATAATGGGCTAGATTAATACTTTGTTTCTAGTGCAGAACACGGGGTGTCATATAACTGCACTGGCACAAGCAGATCTCCAAAAATGAATTGTGACTCAGAGAGGCACATCTCTGAGTCACATTTCTCCCTGACCTTGTGTTCCATGACAGGCAACTGAAGTATGCCACATCAGTTGCGCTGCCAGATAGAGCATACTCCCTGCCTGGCACCTAATCGCCACTGCCAATTGAAACATTGGAAGGATGGAAGAGTGGAAATATAACTTCATCTAGTCTCTTGCTTCTCTCTGCTTGTACCCCAGTCCTTCCTTGTCTGCTTTGTTGTGATAGGAAATAGTGGTGTCACAGAGTCTGAATCACCCGGTTGCATGCAGACTCCCTATCCCAGCAAGCCCTATATGATTGTGCATGGTGGGTGGAGGATGGCTTAGTCACCTGCATGACTGCATAGTAGTAGGTTATAATCTAAGCCATAATACATTATTTTATTTTGCTCTGCTCTTTGAGCATCCTATATCTAATGTAGATTTTTAAAAGTAGTGTCTTTAAATTGGGCAATCAGATAAAGGGAATGAAGGCTGTATATTGGATTTAATAAATGACCCATTCAGCACATGTGAGTCTACTCTGTTACGGGACTGCCAAATTGCATAAGAAACTCATCATGTTTCTGAAATGTTCCAATCTGATATACCCTGGTATACTAAAATATTATTTTTGTGATGCAGATGAACAGCATGAAATCAACTGCTTGAGGCTGGAAAAAGTAAAATATTGAGGCAGTGAAAGCAGAACAGTGAGGAAAATAGCATTGTATTCTATGTTCTGGAATTATCAAAACATTATTGTCTCGTTCCTCAAAATGCCAAATATGATAGTGAGAGTACAAAGAAAAAATAAAGTGCAAGTTACCAATAATGCTAGTGTTGGAGCTTGGCTACCAGAGGCCATAATGGTATCCTGTTTAACATATTTATGTTGGTTGTAAAATTAGGAACTGTCATTAGAGCCCCACATCACCTGCATAAGGGCAAAACACATAAATCAAGAGGCGTTCCAGCACCATAAAAATGACATAGAACTGAATGGCATGAAACTCTCACAAGATATTTATGCACATGGATACCATGTACCAAGACACATGTGTAGGTTTTTAGTGGATTTGATTGACAAATATTAAAGGTGTGATTATCCAGTCCAGTTTGCATTTTCTAACATCAGCTCACTCATATTGGAGTATTGTAATTTGAACCCCCCCCCCCCACACACACACACTTTGAAACTGAAAGGGTCTAAAGTGCAAAAGGACAGATGAGCTATTAGTAAAAAGGCTTCTACATCACAGCTATTGCTTTAAAACTCCACATGCAGATCATTTACTGATTTCTGTTTGATCATATCCATTGACCTTATTCAAGTTATGTCATTCGCACGCTGAACAACCATCATGTGCAATTAACACTGTAGAACTGGAAGCAATAATCAGTAAATCAGCTACATTTAAAAATATGCCAGTGAATTTTAGGGAGTGGTGTATAGAAATAGAACATTAATCAGAAAAAATATCTGAGTGGTGATGTCTTTAGGCTTGGTGTGAAAAATAAATCACAGTCTAGTTGAAAGAAAGAGAACCAGTTAAGTTTTGTTTGTTTGTTTTAGACAATGATTATATAAAAAGAAGAAACAATGCTTAAGGAACACCTGTAGATTTTTCCCACTTGGTTTCTGGTAAACCATACATGAAACGGCTGTATTGTGTGCAGTACTTACTGATAGTAAGAATAATGAGAACACTGATAACCTTTACAATGCTGTATATCTTACTCTAGCTATAATTAAAGCTAAAGTTTCCCTAATAAATATGGCGGCACGTCCTATTCACGCTAACTGCTCAGGGCATTTCAGGGGGTAGGGCAAGCTAGATGGAGTGGATCATCTCTAAATATGAGCCTGTGTGTGGAGGACGGGGGGAGGAGTTAAAGAATAAGAGCCTAGAGTAGGGAAAGAAGACCACTTCATTTGCAGACTGAAGTAATCCTAAAGAATTTACAATGCTTTGAATTTTGTCCCTAAATCCTATACTTGATCAAAATCCTGCAAATTACAGGCATTCATGTAGCTATGGGAAAAGGAGAGACAAAAGCACTGATGAGCAAAACTATTCAGGGTCAGAGAAGTGGGGGTCAGTTTGTGGAGTGAAAACCAAAAGTAAAATTGATTAGTAAGAAACTAAGTCAAGTACAAGTATAATATTGATGTGACATATCTCTTCAGCTATTGTATGGAGTAAAAGTGCATAACTGATTGTGACATAAAAATCTATTGTCTCAATTCAGTATGTAATGAAAGAATCTGGGAAAACCCTGCATTTGTTTTAGCTGTTTTTATGTATGTTCTTGGTTTCCTTTCAGAGAGTAGATGAAGATGACATGGAAATATTAGGTCTGGAGCAGTCACCATTTGTAACTGTTATAGGCTGTTGACTGAATCTATTAACAACGAAGTCAATTGTGTGTCCAGTATAAATAGTTTAGAATTTCCTGCAAGGAAATTACATGAAGCATCAGTAAGGAGTGACATTATACTTATAAGTCAACATCCCTGTCATTACTTGACCTATACCTTTGTGTGCAGATATCAGACTTGGCAGCTGATGTCACAGAAGACTCCTACAAATTGTTGCTCTAAAATTAGTTTTTATTGGACAATTGATAATCAGCCTGCTAACAAGTTAGCCTGTTCAGTAACAGCTTTGGACTACTCTGTTGGTCTAGTACGCTATATTTGTTGTTACCTATTACAAACTTTATCACTGAGCTTCCTTGGCTAAATACATTGAGTTAGATTATGTCTTCAAGGCACTGTGGTGTGTAGAGATGCAACACTGCCTCTTGTGCTCCAGGGGCACTGTTCCACCAGGGTCTTAGATGTGAATATGTCTGCCCTCTGCAAGGGGGAGGGGAGTCTCCTTAAACCATCTCCCCTCTTCCCTTGTCCCCCATTTTCCCCAAGCAGAGCTAGACACAATCTAGACCTAAAACAAAAAACTCTATATCTACAGTAGGTTACTTTCTCCCCTGCTTGGCTGTGTTTAGCCATCTATTACTGTCTTGTTGTTCCTGGCACCCCATATGAAGTAGAGATTAATGAAAGTTCTACTGTGTGATTTCTTGATTTTTTTTCTCTTATTTTAGTCATCATTGCCTTTGAAAACATAACTGCAAGTTACTCCCTTTCTATTTTTAAAACTATTTATTTTAACAAATAGTATGGAGATTGCTGTTTGAAGACACAGCAGTTACCTTGGTATCTGGGATATTGCAATATTTCCTTATACTTACAATAGGAAATAGTTTTGATACCTCAGATATCATGGAGAGGAAATTGTTTGCAAATGGTGACTTTTTCAGGCACTTCAGTCCACTTTCAAATGAAGGAGGTAGCATGTTCAGAAAGACATATTTCTTATCTTTACAATTACGGAGTAATTTTTGGGGTTTTGTCTGCACATTTGGGTGCACACGTGTTATATTTGGCATCTTCTACTTTAATATTTCTTATTTTATTTACCAAACCTGGTCCATAGTCTTAGCAATATGAACAAAGAAACTTCTATCGGGACTTGGGCCATATTTGTCTAGTTGGGTGGCTCTCAATCTCTTTACCAGCTCTCTATGTGTTATGCTGGCCGCATCCACACAATATATATACTACCTGCATGGCCCTGAGGCTGTCACATGGGCTGCAGCTGTGTGCTGATTGGGCCACAGGTTGAGAACCATTAGTATTGCATGTTCATTTTCATAGTTCCCGGGCACTTTAACAGCTTTGAAAAGAATAATATTGTGCCACAAAATTCAAGTCACTGAAAGTTATATCGTGATTTTACTTACTATAGTGCAAGGCAAAGTTGTAATTAACACTAATGGTGTTTAAAAATGCAAGAGTCCATGTCTATAGTATCTTTCCAGTGGTGTAATCAGGGATACAGCATGACTGAATGTGCAGACATTGGAACATAATTGTTTTTTATTCAGTTATAGGTGCCCAGCGCAGGAGAAGCCCCAGTGCCCTTGCCATTGAAGTATTTGAATCACATTTGGGAAGTCACATTTTACAGGTAAAAATAATGGCTTTACCAAAATAATCAAGATGACTAGACAGTAACAATATTTCTGCCAATTATTATTATGCTGTTATCAGGGCTTACGTTTATGAGATTTTTTTTACAGATTCCAATTTTTTCTTTTTAGAAAGTCTATGAGTGAGAGAAATTTAATGAGATAGGGAGGGCAAGTACTCTTTGTGCTGTAATAATTTAGATGAATCACACTATGTAGCTATATTGGACTGTGCAGTAACTGTTGCTCACAGATATACTGTGTGTGTATAAAACACCATTTTGGGTAAATAATTTGATTTTTGTAAGTGTCCTGTTCAGATTTAGATTTTCTTTTCTCATTTTAGTTTACAAGCACCATTTCCCTTCCCCTGCCCACAATTGTCATGACTCTAACAGTGCAAATTACAAAAATCTTCATAGAGAAGAAATAACAGCATGTCTTCCAGGTCTTAGTAGTAAATGAGATAAGAATAATTTGATTTTTCCCAAAGCATTTTATGACACCGTACAGTAGGTATATGTGAAAAAGATTAGATTGAACAGAAATGACCTGATAGAGACATTCATGTATGTTATGTGTTTTGTTTTGTCAGGGCTTAGTGATTCCACAAAACATTTTTTAGGTTTTAGTTGTCAGAGATATAGTAGAAGCAGGTAACAAAGGCAACAGCAACAAAATGGGCAGTGTTTTGTCAATGTAGACTAAAAAAACAAACAAAAAACCTTATGGAAATAAGAAACCTGCTGTGCATATGGTCTTTTCTAACTGCAGCACTAAATAACTGCTGTTATTTAGCAGAAATTTCTGCTTCTCAATCCGAGTATGCAGCATGGAATATTGTCTTTTGATATGCAAGAGAAGCAAGTTAGGATACTATAATGAGAAATATTCCACTTCATCTGAAACAATTGAGAGGTATTTCTCTGTACTACCGCAGCTGTAGCTTTCAAAGGAGCTATGGATAATCTCCAGGTTTTCATACCTTTTTGCAGTTAGTAAAATGGTAACAAAGATAATTCTAGCAAAACGTAAAAATTACCACTGGAATGAATTTCCCTTAAGTGCAAAAATTATGAATGAAGTGATTTAATTATTTGTATGTCCTTGGCAGAGGTCTAGGTTCAAGGTTTTAGTGCTGTAAGCAAATACTTATGTTATGGTTACTGTACCAAAGATGGTAAATGTGCACCACTGAGTTTTGCATAATAGACACAAATGCGGTTGTGCTGTCTCACAGATGTAACAAAACAATACAAAAAAAGAATAAATAAGCAGCAGTTTTGTGATGTTTGAGTTTGTGTAATTTGTCAGCATGCTGCTATGAATATATAAATACATACTGTATACGTAAAGATACGCTTTTTACAATATGTATTACTAGTAATACCCAGATAAAACCTCATTGAAATTGATTTGTATCCAGTTTTAGTTCAGATGTCGATCATGACCTTATAATATGCATAAAATTCATTTTGTTATTTGAGGTCTATCACACTACAACTTTATTAGCTATTTGGAATGTAAATTTTTCATTCATTGAATGGCTAAGAAGCTTTCATCATTTTTTTATCTGCTTAAAGCAGATTTCCTTTTTATTTTGGATTTTTCCCCCCAACTAATACATAGGGGATGTAAGAGGTATACAGATAGCAAAAAATCACTACAGCATGTGGAGTTGATGGTTTTCAGTCTGAGTCACCATAAATTCCATATTGAATATCTGTTGAGGTGTGGCCTTTTCAAAGAGGGTGTTGGTCTCTCCAAATTGCTTCCATTAATCTTCAGCAGAATTGATAAAAGAAAGTTCTAGGGTGACATTTAAAAGAGAATAGATTGTGGATGATGGATAAAGAGCGCAGTGAACTTATAATGGATGTAAGTTAGTCATAATATGTTAAAAATCTTGTCTCGCTTTAGCAGGCTAAAACGTATAAAACAACACTCAGTAAGAGATTATAGGGAAAGCATTGAAATACAGTAGCTGCAGGAATCTCAGACAATCACCTTGTGATGTCATTGGTAGAAGCACCTTGTGATGTCATTGGAAAAGCACTCCAGAAGGTCGGAATACTAGTAAGATGTCACAAATCCAACTAGAGTCTCCTCCAGTGGAATGCTGCTCTAACAAATATTGCTTTGGTGGGCACTACTTCTAGAAATGACATTCAAAGCAATACTGTGGTAACTGTTATTTGAGAGAGAGAGAGAGAGAGAGAGATGAACAGAGAAATACGAGCCAACCTGCAAAAAGTACTGTATTGCAGGAGTACCCATATTTTTCAGAATCTGTGATCTAAGGAAGCTAGATTAATAGGTAATCTGTTCAGTGCCCTTCATAATTAATATTTTAAAGTCCTGGCTAAAGGTAAATTCAGATATTAAAGAGACTTTTTCTAATACTTTTGTTAATTCAAAATTTATTGACAGACACGTGAGAACCACAATATAGTCTATATTTAAAAAGTGTACATAGTTTGTTTATAGTGATGTTATAACAATAGAAATGGAGCAACATCTTGTGACATTTTAAATCTTGATTCTACAAGCAAGTACTCTCAGTCAATCATGTCAAAAATTTCCAAGCCACAGCCAATTGCAGTATATCATACTGAAGAGATGATTCCCACGGTAGGTTTATGGCCAAAAGAAACTACGCACAATGTGCTCATGGAAAAAAAAGGAAATACCCCAAATATTATTATAGCAGTAGCCTCACAATCAGAAAAGAAGCTTTCAGACATTATCCAATTAAAACACCTGGATGGAGAAATAGTGGGAATGCCTTGAATAGAAGAGAAACCAGATAATTAGAGTCGCCCATTAATTATTAGCAAGACTTCATTATACTCCACATTCATCTTATGCATGAGAGTAGCTTTATAATGAGGTTAGGCTGCAATGAAAAATATCTTAAATTTTACCTCTGTGGTGTATTTTTTACTTCATTATAAGTTCAATGAAAAAAATTTGATTTCTGTTATCTCTTATTGTCAAACTTTAGTTCAAGAAAGACTTAAAAGTTAAGATGAATATGGTCAGTTTACATCTCTTGATACTTTCTTTAACTTCTTAACTACTGAGGATTAAGAAAAGGGGTCAGTGACCCCATATTCTTTATATAATCAAGAATGATCAGGAAATGTAGAACTAAATATAGAGAAAAGGGAAAGTTAGTGAATATATTTGCATATGCAAATTAGCTTAATTGATACTGCTTGCCTCTACAGGGATTTTTCATTACAAACTGGAGTGCTACATTGTTCAGCTCATATTGAGTAATTTAGTAACTAATGAGACCAGTTTGCACTAATTTGCATATGATAAATGAGCTTAATTGCAGTAAATAACTTGGAGGCATAATTACTTAATTTTCCTGTGTTGCACGGCTTTTAAGTTCACGTATGAACAACTCAAGATAATTTTGCATATTTAAATTAGTTGCTTTTAAAATTTCTTGAACAAAAAAGAACACACCTTAGGATTTGAACTGGAAAACAATTGAAAGTAAAGTTTACAGTATTTTTAGTAAAAATTTAGATAAGTTCTTAAATATGTGTTTTGTTTTATAGTTTTTTTATGCCAAGCTCTTATCAAAGTAGATATATTTAGTATTAGACACTCTGCAGTAAGCTTTAAATGTAAGATTTGGAAAGAAATATTCCATTAACAATAACAACAGCAACTTTGTATCTAAATTGCAGTGATTCTTACTGACTGTGTACTCCTGTATATAAGAGCAGTAACTTTTAAAAATTGAAGTCAGTGCTGTGAAAGTGCCTCACTGATTGGTCAGCAACTGTAGTTTTTTAATGGTGCATTAAATTATCATACACAATTGCACAGGGAGTGGTTGTGTTAGATTCTACAAACTGCCCTACTAGTGTACTTCTACTCAATTTTTTATGCACCATCCCTTTCACTCAGAAGACTATTCAAGTTTCCATGTCCACTAAATCTTCATTTTATTTGTGGACTTTATCGTGGTGCCAGTTATAATGGTGCTTTATGTCATGTGGAGTTGTTCACAAGGAAGTGGATTGAGAACACCAGCTCAGTTCCCGTAGGTCAAAAAAACCCCAAACACTTAGCCAACGTTTGGGCCATTACAGGCCTTAGATGGATTTGAGCCAGTGAACAAGGAGTGAAAAAGCTCAAAATCCCAGTGACAATCCCCAGGACCATCTAATAGCACTATAACAGTGAGCCCAGTCATGCCCGCATGATTTGCAGGTGGAGTGGGATTGTACTGATTTCTCCATCTTGTGCTGAAAAAGGGCTCAGCTACTTTCTCAACAGTATTCTCTCCTTTTCTCAGGGCTTACAGAAGGTGGTCTTGGGGGATTTGTACATTGTCCTCATACCACCCTTGAAAAAATCAGAAAAACAGAAATCCACTTTAGATTGTGCCTCACCATCAGAGCTGGGATTCCTCTTTCCTTCCTCTAAGGGTCATCTTCATGATGTTTCTGGTCCAGTGACTCCTTGTCAGCATGGCTTAGAAGGAGCCACACTGTCAAGGACCAAATCAGAGCTAGTTGGGACTTGTGATGCTGCGGAATCTTTATGTGATAATCCCTGGTCTCCTGTGGATTGGATGGGGATCTGGCGTGTTTGTGTGCATGCTCCATGACCTTTTCTGAGCTAGGGAAACTCCAATCCTTTGGTGGAATGGTAAAGGAGAAATTTCCACAAGTAATTCTTAGTGGAGGTTTACTCTTCTTTCACTCCATTCTACAGGATCTCACATGGGATTGGGGCCATTGAGTTTTCTTCAGCTTTTCTGCATTTAAAAACTCAAAAAAATCCCAAATCCACCCTTGGGTATAAGAAGTCTGCTGCATTGCTGCTAACATTTTACACAACTTACATTAAATTACATATTTTCATGGAGAATCTAAGAGCCATATGTGTTTTGTTCTTGATTCACAAATACAGTGCCCAGAAAACCCATTTGTCAGCTAGTATGTGAGAATGTAGTACAAACAAATCTGTGTGG